CACTACTTTAACAAACAGGTTGCAGTAAATAAATATTAAAGGCACTACTTTAGTAAACAGGTTGCAGTAAATAAATATTAAAGGCACTACTTTAGTAAACAGGTTGCAGTAAATAGATATTTAAGGCACTACATTAACAAGCACACTTATGTCCTACTCTATAAATAGGTTGTCTTATATTATGTATAGTTTTCCTTTCACCACATTACAAACAAGTTGTATTGCTATATTACAGATTATGTGCAAACATTTATGCATAGATTATACATACTACTTACTTAAAGTATATATATAATACATACTGTATGTGTATAACATTATCTAGGTTCCACTATGTTATAAATAGGTTGCAAACATTACAAAAGTTGCACAACGAGCTGTATATACATATATTCCAATAGAGTAAATGTAGGGTGCGCTATATATTATTATATTATGCCAAAGTATCAAACACATTTCCATTACAGAAAACTTGTAGTGTGCTAGGAGTATCACACCATCCTATGAATGTGGATTTTTGTTAATGTTTTTTTAAGGGAAAACCTGGTGGGGTCAAACTTGTGACCTACATAATCGTGCAAATTCGAAAATTAAAATTATTGGCCATCTTCAGTTTCTATATTGTGATAAACTTAGTGAAAAACACCTATCCACGTAGCTGTTTGATGTAATTATCACAGTATTTCTCTCTACATGTGATACAACTTTTGTTAATGCTCGAACTTTGTTGTGTATAATACACACACACACACACAATGTATTTAAGAGCATAAAGCGTTTTGTCTAGAACCAAACAGTTCTGTTATTGTTTGGAATGGATCTTTGTGCTAACTGTAATAACTAGTTCACCGTGAAGCAACAACAAGACCTATATTCCAACGTGTTTACTATTTCTGAAGGATATTTAGCCAGTTGCTAAAACGTTGGGTACGAAATGATAAGAAACATGTTGGCGATATAGATGGTGTTTTTGTTTTAATGTTACCTTGCTAAGTTCAGTTTTTAGCGTTTTAATCTTACCTTACTATGTTATGTTTTTGTTTTAAGCTTACCTTACTATGTTATGTTTTTGTTTTAATCTTACCTTACTATGTTATGTTTTTGTTTTAAGCTTACCTTACTATGTTTTTTTTTAATCTTACCTTACTATGTTATGTTTTTGTTTTAATCTTACCTTACTATGTTATGTTTTTGTTTTAATCTTACCTTACTATGTTATGTTTGTATTTTAATCTTACCTTACTATGTTATGTTTGTATTTTAATCTTACCTTACTATGTTATGTTTGTATTTTAATCTTACCTTACTATGTTATATTTGTATTTTAATCTTACCTTACTATGTTATATTTTTGTATTTTAATCTTACCTTACTATGTTATATTTGTATTTTAATGTTACCTTACTATGTTATATTTGTATTTTAATGTTACCTTGCTATTTTATGTTTTTATTTAAATGTTACCTTGCTATATTACAAATGCTTGCATATAAAACTTCGAGATATGAATTGCTTATCTTGTTTGTTTGTTTTTAATGATGCACAAAGCTACACAAGGGCTATCTTTGCTCTGCCCACCCGGTTTCTAGCGTTGTAAGTCCGCAGACATATGCTTATCTTGAAAAAGAGCTTATATAGCCCAGAATAGTGACGTGTTACTTTCAGTAAGACGTGTTTGTAGTTTTTGCTGGTGGTGATGCCGTTGTTGCACTCTCATAGAATAGAATATATATTTAAGACGCTGAATGTGGAAGAGAGAGAATTATAGAATTGACGAGAATACACACTTGTTCATTGGGACAATGAGAGACAAAAGATTTTCTGAAATTATTTATTTATCCAGCATAATTCTATCGAACTTGTGGTTTTAACACCGAACTCTAGCCGAGCAATAAAAAATAATAGGCTTAAAGAATTGATAAAATTCACTTTAACTGCAGACGTTTCTCACATTCCATCGTACGGCCCAACTGACGCGTTCTGGATTAAATAAAAAGCCTGTCAGATCTGAAAGGTTATTTCTACGCGCCTTCGACTTTGAATGTGTAATGGACAAATTAAGAGCAATGTGAAAAAACAAACAAAAAAAAACCAGAAAACATTTGGAGTTAATGTGGTTCTTATCACAATTTTAGGCCTCTTGGTATATAATGTTTCACCCACTTCGCTTTTTAAACATAAGACATCAAATACAACAACTTAGACGGAATCATACTTAGGGTCATCACGGTAGGTGTCCCGTCATTAATTATTGACGATTGGATTATTTCTAATCTCGAGAAAGTTCCCACATTCTCGCTGTTTTTGATTCTACTAAACATGTCAACGATTGTTGGTATTATCTCAGGACAATACGCTGTGTACCTTAATTTCGCATATTCTCCATTACCCATCATTGTTGCCTCCAACTAATTACAGCTGCTCTCTTATTACATCTTTGCTATTTCAGGCGCTGCTGAAGAATTGATTGTCTAAAACAATAACTTACAACAAAGCAATACACACAATGACAGCACTTAAGGACACGTGGTGCCCGACTTTTCCTTTTCCCTTATTATAAGTGCACCGTTATTCGATATAGTTGTACTGATTTGTTAGTGTATATATATTCCTTTCTGCATGCTAGACACTGCGTTCATAATAAGGAGGATACTACGTGTTACACAATATCGACCTGGTTCTACAAAGGTTACAAAATACTGTCATGTAGTATACTCATTATTCACATGTAATTTCGTGGCATAACAGGATATTTCTGACACGTGGAACTAACGTGTCATTTTCACTAAATCACATGAAATCAACGTGTGAACACATCAATACATATGGTTCGGTATATTTTCACTGACATTGAAGAAAGTTGGGTTTTGGATTATATACTCCAAAATTAACATAGCGGTAAAATCTGTCCTGCTTCTTCCTTTTCACGTATCTACTTGATAATTTTGAAGAATTATGTCAGAATCTAACGAACTTTCAGTTGAATACTTTAGTAATTCCGAACTCGTAGCATAGCAAAAT